AGCACTGCTGAGCACTGCTACCAGGCCGCAGCCACAGCCCCTCCAGGCCACTTCTAAAGCTGTAAATACTTTCTGTGGGTGTGGTGTGTTCTCTTCAATCATTTAGGCCATTCCTGTCTTTCACAAACGTGCATAGAGTAGTCAGGAGAGGGAAACTGTATGTATCTTTTCTGTATAGTCTCTACTGGTGTATCAGGTTCTTAGGTTTTATCAAGCACCCTCTGAGCAGGTCCCTTCAGTTTATGCCAGTCAGCAGTACAGGAAGGTACCTGGTACCCGAGTCCTTATCAACGAGGATTCATACTGCTGAATGTTTCAGACTGCTCACCTTTTTTTTTTTTTTTTAACTTTTTTTTTTTATATAGGGTCTCACTTTGTTGCCCAGGCTAGCCTCAAAGTTGCCATCCTCCTGCCTCAGCCTTCTGAGTGCTGGGACTATAGGCTTTTCCTAATGTGCCTGGATCCTATTAACCACTACTTTTCTTTTTAAGGTTTATTTTAATTATGTACAAATGGAGTATTTGGGGGTTTCTGGTTGTGCACTGTACAGGTACCCACAGAGGCCAAAGGCGTCAGATCCTGGAGGCAGTTTTGAACCCCCAGCATGGGTGCTGGGAACTGCACTTCAGTCCTCTGCACGAACAGTGTACACTCCAGCCTCTGAGCCCTTTCTCCAGCGCCTGCTTCGTGATGTGGTTAAAGAATAAAAAGGTTTGGCCGGGCGGTGGTGGCGCACGCCTTTAATCCCAGCACTCGGGAGGCAGAGCCAGGCGGATCTCTGTGAGTTCGAGGCCAGCTTGGTCTCCAAAGCGAGTTCCAGGAAAGGCGCAAAGCTACACAGAGAAACCCTGTCTCGAAAAACCAAAAAAAAAAAAAAAAAAAAAAAAAAAAAAAAAAAAGAATAAAAAGGTTTTCATCTGGCTGGAGTGTTAGCGGATCACCCCATATTTGGTAGGACAGAAGGTTCCACTGAGAGTTAGCCAGCTCCACTCAGCTACAGAAAGATAGCTGTGTTCTGCCCTCTCCCAGAGGTACCATCTGTAAAGCCCTAAAAACCGAGTCCCGGGGACACCAGTCCTCGCCTTCCGTGTACTTCGGCTGAGGCCTCCTGCTGACCCAAGCGGTGATAAGAACAGGTCACCCTCCCACCTCACCTACCCCTGTGGGTGCCTCACTGTGCATCAGGCCCTCACCCACAGCCCTGTGTCAGGGCTCAGGGCACGGAGGAAGTTTACTTCTCACAGCCCTGTGTCAGGGCTCGGGGCGCAGAGGAAGTGGTACTTCTCACAGCCCTGTGTCAGGGCTGGGGCGCAGAGGAAGTGGTACTTCTCACAGCCCTGTGTCAGGGCTGGGGCGCAGAGGAAGTGGTACTTCTCACAGCCCTGTGTCAGGGCTCAGGGTGCAGAGGAAGTGGTACTTCTCACAGCCCTGTGTCAGGGCTCAGGGTGCAGAGGAAGTGGTACTTCTCACAGCCCTGTGTCAGGGCTGGGGCGCAGAGGAAGTGGTACTTCTCACAGCCCTGTGTCAGGGCTGGGGCGCAGAGGAAGTGGTACTTCTCACAGCCCTGTGTCAGGGCTCAGGGTGCAGAGGAAGTGGTACTTCTCACAGCCCTGTGTCAGGGCTCAGGGTGCAGAGGAAGTGGTACTTCTCACAGCCCTGTGTCAGGGCTCGGGGCGCAGAGGAAGTGGTACTTCTCACAGCCCTGTGTCAGGGCTGGGGCGCAGAGGAAGTGGTACTTCTCACAGCCCTGTGTCAGGGCTGGGGCGCAGAGGAAGTGGTACTTCTCACAGCCCTGTGTCAGGGCTCAGGGCGCAGAGGAAGTGGTACTTCTCACAGCCCTGTGTCAGGGCTCAGGGTGCAGAGGAAGTGGTACTTCTCACAGCCCTGTGTCAGGGCTCGGGGCGCAGAGGAAGTGGTACTTCTCACAGCCCTGTGTCAGGGCTGGGGCGCAGAGGAAGTGGTACTTCTCACAGCCCTGTGTCAGGGCTCAGGGTGCAGAGGAAGTGGTACTTCTCACAGCCCTGTGTCAGGGCTCAGGGCGCAGAGGAAGTGGTACTTCTCACAGCCCCCTGCTGTGCCCCACACTACCTTCTCTCCCAGTGTTTGCTCAGGGTATATGGTGGTGGACGTGAGGGCAGGGCACCCCCAGGGAAAGGCTGCTACTGCAGAGTCCCTGGACTCCAGGAAAGAGCTGAGATGGAGGGTGAGTCCTAGGTCTCCTGGGCCAGCAGCACACAGTGTAACAGCCACAAAGCGAGAGGGCCTGCTCCAACCAAGGTCAGGGGCCCTTGGACACACATGAGCCCAAATGGTACCACACACATGCTTGTCATGTTGACTCAGTCATGTTTAGTAATTCTTAGAATTATAATCTGATAAATATATCCAAAATTTAAAATGATTTGCTCTGAATCTAGGTCTTTTTGACATCTAAGCTAGATGTGTTCAGTGTGACTCCTGTTCCCTCTTCCTATTAAATAATCACAGTATCCATTTGGGAATTCCCTACCCTCCTACTCCAGACTGTGATTGACAGGACAAGAGTGGCCTGGGCAGCAAGGAGATTTGAGTGTCAGGTTTTAGCACCGCCCCTGGGGATGTTCCCTCCCTTCCTCCATTAACTCCCAGGCAACTGAGAGGCTAATGTGCCCTTTCCTGTTTTCCTCTCATTTTGAAGGTTTATCAGATATACGCGAAACGGTCTCCAGAGGAAGTGCACTCGCTCCTGAGGTCCTTTGGCACTGACTTTGTGATCTTGGAAGACAGCATCTGCTACGAACGCAGGCACCAAAGGGGCTGCCGGCTGCGCGATTTGCTGGACGTCGCCAACGGACACGTGAGCATGTTGCTTCTTCGTCTTGGGGAGCGTTCAGAGAGGGTGGAAATCCAGGATGAATTCCAGGTGATGTACATCACCTCATACCACATGCGTGAACTACAGTCAGAGGTTTGTAGAAGGCCCGCTCTTTAGTGACAGCAGGGCCTGGGCCAGGGCGCGGGAAGGTCCAGGCCTGCAGTTGGACTCAGGTCCAGCACCTCCCTGCCTTCGGCTGCTTTGCATGATGAAGCACTGCATAAATTTTATTTGTAAAGAGTATTTCTCTGCTGTATACAACACATCTGCCTCTAAACGCACTGCTCAGAGCATCCTGTTGACACGTCTGTAAGTGTCAGGCAGCGGCCACCCCTTCTTCCCAGGCTCTGTGGCCCACACAGCCTGCTCCCTCTTGTGCATCACCACACACAGCCTCAGGGTAGCTAAGCTTGCCCTCCACAGCAGGACAAGCTGTGTCTCCCTTAGAGAAAGGAACATTCCCTTGGAGCTGAGCCAGGTCACAGTAAACAGGGTCCCTGTTCCTTTTAGGATGTGGGGTGACTAGTGGTGTGTGAAAACTAGCCGAAATCCAAAACAACCTGAAGGTGAGAGTTAGAGGCTCAGATTTTTGCCCAAGGAAAGTAGTAAGCAGTGACTGCCTTCAGAGGCTGAGCAGAACACGCACCTGCATGTGTGTGAGCGTGTGTGTGAGCACGTGTGTGAGCGTGTGTGTGAGCACGTGTGTGAGCACGTGTGTGAGTGTGTGTGTGAGCGTGTGTGTGAGCACGTGTGTGAGCGTGTGTGTGAGCACGTGTGTGAGCGTGTGTGTGAGCACGTGTGTGAGCACGTGTGTTGCTTTTCTGTAGCTGGAGAATTTCTCTCCAGCTCCCGCCAAGTCCCGCCAGTCCCAGAGCCCACTTATAAAATAAACACACAGACTCTTACGTTATTTAAACTGCTTGGCCATTAGCTCAGGCCTATCATTGTCTAGCTCTTACTCTTATATTTCGCCCATTTCTATTAACCTATATTTTGCCACGTGGCTCGTAGCTTATTGGTACCTTACATCTTCCTTGTCCTGGTGGCGGCTCCAGCCCTCTCCCCCTTCCCTTCCTGTTTTCTCAATTCTCCTCTCTGTTAGTCCCACCTATACTTCCTGTCTGGCTATTGGCCAATCAGTGTTTATTTATACAGAGCGATGTCCACAGCACTTTTCCTCACCCAGTATCTGAGCTGGGGAATTGTCTCCAATTGTTGTAGTTCTCTGTGTTTAACTTTTTTTTTTTTTTTTTTTTTTCCGGTTTTTCAAGACAGGGTTTCTCTGTGTAGTTTTGGTGCCTGTCCTGGATCTCGCTCTGTAGACCAGACTGGCCTTGAACTCACCGAGATTCGCCTGACTCTGCCTCCCGAGTGCTTGTGTTTAACTTTTGTTAAACAAGGATAATGTGCTTATAGGAACAGGATGGCTCAGTCAGCTTTTCTGTGCTGTGATAAATACCATGACTAAAGTAACCTGGAGGGGTGTGGTAGTTTGAAAGAAAAATGGCCCCCTAAGGAAGTGGAGATGCGACCTTGTTAGAAGAAGTGTGTCACTGTAGGCTTTGAGGTCTCTTTTGCCCAAGCTTCCCTCAGTGTGACACTGAGACTACTTCCTGTTGCCAACTGATCAAGTTGTAGCCAGCACCATGTCTGCCTGCACACTGCCATGCCCCCTGCCATGATGATAATGGACTGAACCTCTGAACTGTAAGGGAGCCATCCCAACTGAATGTTTTCTTTATAAGAGTTGCCGTGGTCATGGTGTCTCTTCACAGCAGTAAAACCCTAACAAGACAAGGGAAAGGATTTGTTTCATTTACAGCTTACAGTCCTTCATGAAGAGAAGTCAGGGCAGGAGCTGATGCAGAGGCCATGGAAGGATGCTCTTTACTGGCTTGCTCCCCATGGCTTATTCAGCCTGCCTTCGTATAGAACCCGGGACCACCAGCCCAGGGGTGGCACAAAGGACACCCACAGTAAACTGGTCCCTTCCACATCAATCAGCAGAATGCCCCATAGACTTGACTACAGTCGATCTGATGGAGGCGGTCCCTCAGTTAACGGTCTGTCTTCTCAATGAGTCTCATTTTGTCAGATTGACAAAAGACCAACCAGGGCACAGGGAGATCTGAGTTCTGGTTCTGATCTGCCATGAACGGTGACAAGTCTCATAACACAGAATTCTCCTTTCCAGCCTTGGTTTGGATGGAGGAGAGCGAGGTGGACCATGATCTCTTGAGTGGGGTTGACATGGAAATACCCTTTAACTGACCAGCATCACATCCCTCAGAAAGCCCAGGACCTACCCTGGTTTTTATGGCCTTTATAAATGTGATTATTTTGGGGGTGGGTGCGGTGACAGGTGCCTTCAATGCCAGCATTCATGGAGTGAGGGCAGGAGAATTAAGAGTCTAAGTCAGCTGTCTACATAGTGAGTTCCTGTCCCCAGAAACCAAGCTTTGGGCTGTATGTAGTGGCGCACGCCTTTAATCCCAACACTCGGGGCAGAGGCAGGCGGATATCTGGAGTTCCAGGCTACCTAGGACTACAGAGAAAGACCGTGTTTCAAAATCAAAAAAAGCAATAAACAAAAGCCAGGGTGGACGGGTAGATGCATAGGCGGCTGAACGGATGCGGGGGGGGGGGGGGGGGGGGGGGGGGTAGGTGGATGGATGGATGAGGTCTCACCACTACCACTCAAGTTGTACTTGGGTTTGTTTTGGTTTCAGGAGATGGATGGGCCAGGAGAGAGTGACCCCGACTTGAGACCTGCAGACCACCCTCGCTTCTGTGAGGAGATTAAAAGGAACCTGCCCTCCTATGCGGCTCACTTCACTAGAGTATTCCAGAACAAGACATTCCACGTCTACAAACTGTCCAGAAACAAGTAACCGTGTCCATCCTTAAAACCCCAGTGCATCTGCAGCTGACGGAGTCAGTGTCTGTGAGTCAGGAGCAGGGCTTGCAGGAGCTGGGATTGCGGACAGCTGCAGACCATTCCGCCATCCTCCGAAACCCTTTCACTACGCCTGGCTCTTCCATCCTGGCTCTGCCTTTTCCATGAGTGTTCTTTAGCCTAACTGTGGGTACCTGTCCAGGACTGGGAATTTGCCACCGAGGGAGTCGGGTGTGACCCACTGGTGGCCTGGAAAATGAGAGCCTATTTAAGATCTGAAATACTTGTGATTTTCAGTGACCCTGAGCTAGTCATGAATGAGTGTAGTTGACAGGCTGCATGGTTCAGTTATTGGTATTTCTTCACCACTGGGACCAATCAGTGGCTTTTTAAAAGCTTATTGTCCTGTCTCCTTTAAAATTTTATAACATTTTCCAATTTACCATGCTTTCATGTGTGAAGAAACAAATCATGTTAGGTCTTTGAATCTTAAATATCCATTTGTGCTCTAAAATGTCACATGTGCAGAACTGTGGGGCAGTCTTAGAGTGTGTGTTCAAATCTGGGCACAGCAATCAGGGTGCTCCTGGGCCAGGTTTGGTAGCACACTCCTTTAATCCCAGCACTCGGAGGCAGGGGCGGGCAAATCTCTTGAGAGTTCAAGGCCAGCCTGGTCTTTATAGTGAGTTCTGGGCCAGCCTGGGCTATGTAGAGAGATCCTGTCTCAAAGAGAAAAAGTGTCACAGGTCTCATCCTAGAAGTCTGCAAGGTGCAGAAGTACATATAGCCAGGCAGCTTATGCTACTGTTCAGGCTTGTTTAAAAACTCATTCGTGGTATTTAGTGTCTCTTGCAAGTAAAACAGTTTTGCTTCATTTCTTACTCATTTCAATTTACTGGGCTTGCAAAACTTTGTAAACTTTTTGTGTTTTTAGCCTTTGTATTTTTTCATAGCCTAGAAACTTGCAGAGTCTGGGGGTTTTTTAGACACTGTATCTTGACTCCTCAAGTTCAGTGTGGCATTTTCATACCCTTCGACTTGTGGTCTCCAATCCTCCCTCTCGGTCCCGGAGACGACACTTTTCCTCCCTAAGAGGTGACCAAGTGCCTCCAAGCTGTGCTCAGTTGTAAACAGCAGAGAGGAGTGGTGTACCTGCTCAGAGTTTTTTGATAATTGCTTTTATAATTCATTTTTAATGGTGGGGGCATGTAAAAGCTGCTGATAGAGGCATATTGTCCACTTAATTAAATCAAGATAGCTAATGAAATTAACTTTCTCTCCTGTTCTTGCCATTTGGAAGTGATTTAACTGTTTCTCCTCACACATTAGTGCAATAAATCCCCTGGAGCACCAGGCGGGAGGACCGAGTGCTCCACTGAGTCGCTATTCGGTTACCGCTTAAGGAGCTTACACAATGCGTTTCCATGGTCTCGTCAGGCTCAGGGTTTTTATGCAAAACTCATTTAAATAAAACATGGACAGCTAGGTTTTTAAATTAGGCCACTGGAACTTTGGAATCCTGCCTTTTCTGAACCCCTAAGGTTGAAGACCACTGCAATTAGGGGTAACGCAGCAAGAAAACATGTTCATCAATGCCAAAACTTTAATGAAGCCAGCAAAGTCGCATGCCTGCCACAGCCACCAGCGCCGGTGGAACATTCTGGGCCAGTGCCTTACTCTGAAGGGACAGCAGATGCAGTAAGGCACAGTGTATCAAGACCCATGACTGTTACTTTGTGGGTCAGTTTGCATTTGTTTTAAACATTCCTGTATGTATGTGTCTCATCCCTCCGTGTTTGGCGTCTTGGTATCCAAGAGCCGTGGACTTAACTTGGATGCACATCCTTACCGTGGTACAGTCATGCTAATCGGCGCTCACTTTATCCACAGCGCCCTTGCTGCCAAACCATTTCCTAGAACATTCGAAGTGCCAAAACCAGTCTTCACACAGGCTCTCCCCAAGACACTGTGATGTGTATAGGACAAGTTTTTACTCTTGGTGACCAAATCTTTCAGCAAATCATGTTTGATATTTTTAGCTCTAATCAGGACTATAGCTTGTGACCTTGTCATCAAGCACACAGGAGAAAAGATGGCCTGCCCTTGGCTGTGGCCCCAATGCTGTGCAGGCTGAAACCAGCACCCTGCAGGCCTTACTCCCTGCCGTTTGGGCCCTGGGGACTGTTACATCTTGGTAATAACATTCAGTTGTGGTTCTGGATAGAACAAGCACTAGGCTTTGAGTTCACGGAAGAACCTCTAAGAACAGCAGAAGTGCTCTTAATTAATGGCACTTCTGACTCCTCAGGGCCTCAAGTCTCCAGCCCTCTTGGGAGCCACCTGCTGCAATCCGGCAGGTGGCCGCTGCCTTGTGTGCCAGGCTCCAGTGGAAGCCCAGCCCAGTCTCTGGTATACATTCTGCTTCTGACTGTGAGTACGGAGGCCAGCCACAAGAGGCCTGGGGTGTGGCTTGACAGTAGTGCTGGCCTAGCATCTTACAAAGCCCTAAGCTTGACCCCCAGCACTGCAGAAGAAAACAGACAGAAAAAGAGATACTTTTTGCAAAAATTTAAATCGGATACTTTGATAAGGTGGATTTCTCATCAAAATTGCTTTTAAATTAAATGTGCTCGGGTCTGCAGAGATGGCTCGGTAGTTAAGAGTGTGTATGACTCGTGCAGAGGACCCTAGTTTGGTTCCCAGCACCCATGTTGGCCGGCTCACAAATGCCTGAACTCCAGCTCCAGGGGGACCCGGTGCCTTTTTCAGGCCTCTACAGGCACTGCACTCATGTGCCCATTCCCACTCACAGACAAATAATTCAAAATAAAAGGAAAATATTTTTTAAAAATTAAATGTGGTCAGGAAAGTTATTAAATATTAGGAGATAAAAATGAAGGAAATGAATGAGCTTACATTCCTTCCTAGATAATTTATGTACTCATCTCACCTTTCTCATGTCTAAGCTGGAAGCTGGGCATGTGGCTCAGAGGTAGAGAACTTGCCTGTCATGCATGAGGTCCTGGGTTCGGTCCCCAGCACTGGAGGAAGCCTCAGCTGACAGGAATACTCGAGAATATTCTTCCCAAATCATGTTGTTGGTGTGATTTATGCAAGAAAGAGAACCACAGACAAGGACTCCCATGAAATAAAAGCCCCTGGCTTCTCATCAAAAGATCAGTGAGTGATGGTACTATTGTCCACTGCTGGTGACGGTTCCCTGCATTAGCCATTCAGTAGACAGTTACTGTTCCCATGCCTGGCAGAGGGTCAGTATGGAGGGCCCACCACTTGAATCCAGATGTGTTAGCCAAGCACGTAAACAACAAGGCCGTTAAAGATATAAAGACACTTCCCAGAAAGGTAGCTTATCTTTAGCCAAAGTGTGTTTGAAACATTTGGTTTTAAACACAGCTTGGAACCAGAGAAAGAGCATGAAAGTGTCTCGGATCCTGTCTGTCATATCACACGTCTGCGGCTGCTCCAGCCATGGCGGCCCGTGGCTGGGGGAAAGCACTGGTCTGTTAGGTCGGGGCAGCGACTGACCTTCCCGTTTGTGACATCTGTTGGGGAAAACCTTAGAAAGAGCATTTCTAATTTGTTGTACTGAATTGTATAGAGATTATATACTAAATAAAGTTCTTTTCAATGATCCGAGGTGTCTTTTGTTGTTTTGAAGGTCAAATTGGAGGGGGTGGAGATGTGTGCCAGTGGAGCAGATCACCAGGGACGGGGGTAGTGAGGTTCTGCTGCGTGGCTATGCTCATCTTCTCTCACTCCACTCTTCCCCCTCCCCCATACCTTGCTGGGTAGCCATGCTATCCTCAAACTCAGGATTCTCCTTCCAAAAACTAGGCTTACAGGTCTGCACACCACACCCAGCCATATAAAGATGTATTTATTTTATGCGTATGGGTGTTTTGCCTCCATATATGTTTGTATACTGCATGAGTTCAGTGCCCATGGAAGCCAGAAGTAGGCACCAGATCCCCTGGAGCTGGAGTTACAGGTAGTTTGTAAGTAGCCATGTGGGTGCTCGGAAGCAAACCCTGGTCCTCTGAAAGAGCAGTCAGTGCTCTTAACCCCTGGGTGGGGGGAGCATGGTGGCCAAGGAGATGGCTCAGTGGGAAAAACTACTGCCAGACAGGCCCAAAGACCCACTTTTGATCACTAGAACCCATGTAGAAAGCCAGATGCAGGAGCTGGGGAGATGGCTCAGTGGTTAAGAGCACTGGCTGCTCTTCCAGAGGACATGGGTTCGATTCCCAGCACTCACATGGCAGCTCACAACTGTCTGTGACTCCAGTTCTAGGGCATCCAACACTCTGTCCTCCAGGGCACCAGGCACAGAAGTGAAGCACAGACAGTAAAACACTCATACCCATAAAATAAAAAAGTAAATACATATCGGGCTGGGGAGATGGCTCAGTGGTTAAGAGCACTGGCTGCTCTTGCAGAGGACCCGGGTTCAATTCCCAGCATTCATGTGGCCGCTCACAACTGTCTGTTTGTAACTCCAGCTCCAGAGGTTCCAACACCCTCACACAGATATACATGCAGGCAAAACGCCAATGTACATAAAAGAAAAAGAAAAAAGTCATAAAAACTAAATAAATACATCTTAAAAATAAAATCATCACATTTGTGTGTCTCTGTGTGTGAGCATAAGAAAAGGGAGGGAGAGAGAAGCGAAACTGGGGAAGGACCACTGACAAGGACGGACACTGATGGATTGCTCTCAGCACTCCATCGCTTTGTGCTGTGTGTGATTGACATGCACAGATGTGTGCACATGCCCAGAAGTGCATATTCATAAAGGAGAGAAGTGGCTGATTGAGTGTGGATGTGCAGGAGAGGGAAAGGGGTGCAGGAAAATGATTTCAGGCCCCGCACAATAATTAGAACAGCAGTGTGCTAATTAAGACTCATAAATTGAATGAAACTATTAGCATTTTCTCTCAGAAGAAAAGGTGGATTTTCTTCCCTAGGAAATGACACCTGTGAACAATTATCTCTCTTATTATTGCTACTAAGATTATTTACATAAGCGGTGCTCATTTAGTGCTCAATGATGTGGGTTTTATTCCAGCACCTGATCTCACCCTGGGGATTGTGGGTAATGGTCAGTGCAGCCATTGTGGAGAAGCCCTCTGTATGGTGGTCTGCTGTCTCTGTGAGCAGTGGTCTTGCCTGTTTAATGAAGAAAACGTCTCAGTCTTATTTTCTTTTTCTTTTTTTAATGTCTATCGATGCTTGTCTGTGCACCACATGTGTGCAGTGCCAGCAGAAGCCAGGAGAGGGCGGCAGGGCCCCTGGAACTGGAGTTACAGACAATTGTGAGCCGCCACATGAGTGCTGGGAATGGAACCTGGGTTCTCTGCCAGAGCAGCCGGTGCTCTTAGCTGCTGAGCCATCTCTCCTGCCTAGATCTCCGTGTCTTCATACATAAAAGAGCCTGTCGGATTGCAGACACCAGGGGTGTAAGAACTTACCCAGTCCTCTGAGCCAGAAGGACACCTGACGATAAGGTATTAGATTAGAAACTTTATGATACTAACATGAACGAAAAAAGATCCCAAAGCTGGACATGGTGGCACACACCTGCAATCTCATCTTTTGTAAGGCCAAGGTAAGATGACCACTGTGAGTTCACAGCTACTCTGATCTGTTAAGTGAGTTCAGGTCTGCCTGAGCTAGTGTGAGACTGTCTCCAAAACAGAAATGAGTCCCCTAGTTTTACTAAATAAAAGTTGTATGACTGGGGACGTGGCTCAGTGGTAGAGAACTTGCCTAGCTTGTTCGAGCCCCTGAGTTCCATCCCTAGAACTGTATAAAGTCAATCTATTACCATGACCTTTAAGGAAAAGTGCCACCTTGCGGCTCAGACTCAATTACAGAAAACCTAGCCCAGGTTGGCTTACACCATCCATAGAGATTGTGAGAACACTGAAACTAGCAGACCGACCTTCAGATAACATTTACTCTAACGTCCCAGTCCATTTGTTAGTCTTGTTTTTGCCGTGTTTTGTTTTGCTCTGGTGTTTTGATGCAGGGTCTCTCTGTGAAGCCTGGGTTGACCAGGAACTCCCAATCCTCCATCCTCACCCCCCTGCGTGTTGGGATCCTAGGTGTATGCCACCATGCTCTGCTCACCCCATAGTTTTTGAGCCCTGATACTTTTGAGGCTCTGGGTTCCCATCAGTGGATAGTGCAGATAAAGTCCATATTCTCGCTGAACTTAACATTATATAGTGGAGGGTCAGGCATTGAGTAAGAAAAGTAAAGGAAATGCCAGATGCTTCAGAAGAAGGGAAGTGCTGTGAGACCATCAGACCAAGTAGCTGAGATGTCAGAATGGACAAGGTGAGACCCACCAAGCGAGTGAGGGAAGAAGCTCCCAGGTAGATGAGGTGGAAGAGGAGCTGGAGAGGGAAAGGGGGAGGCGTGATGTGAACACAGTACTCTAGGGTGAAGTTTTCAAAAACATTTTAACACTTAAAAGGAGGGGAAACGGTGAAAGTTTGAAATAGCTGTGTCAAATGGGGAGGTGGCTCAGCCTCAGCGACAGAAATGTTGTGCTCGTATTGTTGATGGTCTGACCGAGATGGGGCAGTCAGTGGGCTCCTCCCAGAGAGAGGAGCAGTGAGAGCGGGAGCCATGCTGCCTGACAAACCAGCTTGCCCTTCCCACTGCCTGTCAAAGAAACTGACTGAGTTGCACATTCTGAAGGAGTGCATAAATATGAAAATTCCACTAAAAATATACCATCGCTCAAGTCGACAGGCTCTAAATATGCAACGGTGGCAGGAATAATGACAGAATGTATTTATTTTTAAAAATGATAAGACATGAGAAGGCTCAGGAATGTGCAGGCAACGAAGATGGCCTGTAAGATTGCCAAATGTCAAATTCAGCAAAGATGTCAAGATGGCCATTTAAAACTTGTTCAGAGAAAGAAAGAAACCCGTTAGGCATCCATCCCCAGGGCAGAGTAGCTGCGCCAGTTGGTTTTTGTGAAATCGATGGCCCTAGACTGGAGGGAAAGGGAACCTCCACTAAGAAAGGCCTCTGTCAGCTTGACCTGGAGGCAAATCCATAGGACATTTTCTTGATTGCTGATTGGTCAGGTGGGTGGGAGGGTCCAGCCCACTATGGGTATTTTAAATTATAAAGGCTTATTTTTAATTGAGTGTCTGTCTGTCTGTCTGTGTGAATGCATGTGCCTGTGGCACCAGATCCCCTGGAGCTGGAGTTACACATGGTTGTGAGCCACCAGAGGTGAGTGTTGGAAACCCAGCTCAGGTCTTGGTGCTGGTGAGCACTGTGCCATCTTTTCAGCCTCTGCTGGCCACTTGCATATTTTCTTTAGAAACATTTCTAGTCTTTAAAGCAGCTGTGGATTTAGCAAAGTGAAGTGACGGCATCTCAGCAAGCCTTGAACCTTGCTGCTCCAGGGCAGGGGTTGTGTTGGGAGATTTCGGGTTTACTATTTTGCAAAATAATGGCCTTTGGCCCATTTAATCAGGGTATTCGCTTTGGGAGAACCCGTGTATTGTTGGCAGTGCATCAGGTTCCCTAACTGTAACTGGAGTTACAGATGGTATCAAACCTGGGTCCTCTGAACCTAAGAACAGCCAGTGCTCTTAACTACTAAGCCATCTCTCCAGGCCCATAAAGTCCCTTTTAATATATTCTATCAGTTCTGTTGCTCTAGAGAACCCTAATACATTAAATTCATTATATCCTTTCTTGTTGACCCCTTAAGATGTGAAGGAGATAGTGGCACCATCTCTGGGTGTAACATTATGTGACTGTCTTGGTAAGAAAAAGCACGTGAATTTTCCCTCCACGGACCCTCTTCCTGGCCCCATCTCATCTCATTCCCCTTGTCCACAACCCAGTCTGATATCCCAGGGATTTAGAAATAAGTGAGAAGGTGGGCCTTGGCCAGAGGGCATTCCTTTATCATACTGGAACTCAAGTCAGGGGTTTACAAATTAGACAGCAAGGAGATATCACTACTTATTAGAATGTCTCAGTGGGCAAAGGCAACCCAGTGGACCTGAGTTCAATCCCTGGGACCCACATGGAAGGAAGAGAGCACACACCACAAGTTTTCCTCTGACTTCTGCATGTGCGCCTATTGTGACAGTTTCCTGAGATGCAAACAGTCCATCCTGCAGGAGAACTCCTAAGCCAGAAAGTAAACAACTCAAAATAGCTTCAGGAAGTCCCTGAAACTGACCAAAGTCACTAGGCCCCTCCCTGCCAGGGAAAGTGATGAAAATTGTGAGTACCTCTCAGACTAAAGGACGCTGAGCTGCAAAGAAGAGTCTGAGACCAGACCAGCTGCCTGGAAGAAGCAGAACCCAGGACAGCTGCTGGAAGAGGTTTAGGCCAACTGAGGCACTGCAGGCTGTGCAGTGGGCTCCAGATTTTGTGATCTGTCACCGTGCTGGGTGGGTGTTGGTGATGCTGCTGTCCTTGAATCATTTCTGCTCCTGTAAGTAACCCCAATAAAACTCATTGAAGGGACTCTGGCCAGCTTGAGTGTGGTGAGCATGGCTCTGGCAGGCCTTGCCTTTCTTCCTCATTCCCTCTGCCTTGCTAAAAAACCATTAGATTACATTCCTAAAGCCAGCCACCAAGGTCT